CCAGCACTTGCATGGCGCTTCCCTCCGTTTTCACTCTTCTCTGTCTCCCCCATTGCACTCTTCCTTCTTCCCTTTCTCCATTTGTCCTCTACTTCTCCCAGCAGCCCCTAGTGAGCCCGCCTTAGGTCTGAGGACCTGAACCCAGATCATCTTTGGTTGTGTAGATTTTGTTCACCTACGTGCAGGGCCACCCCAATGCCCCCACTTCTTAATCCTGACTCCTTTGAGCTGTCCCAGGAGGGTGTCCTGCCTCTGACTCTCAGGACAGAGGCCAGACTGTGACTGTGACCGGCGAGGTGTGTGATGTGTGTGTGGGCGTGCACACGGGTGTGAGTGCAAGAATGGCAGCCAGGCAAGGGGTAAGACATGGAGCAGCTGGGAAAGTGGCTGGGAGCCATGGGACAATCTGATGGCTTTCTTCCTTTCCTCTGCCTCTGGCTCTACCTGTCCTGGGCCAACATGGTGGGTATGGGGCAGGAGTGGGTGAAGACTGCCCCTTTCCCAGAGATTTCCAGGGAAAAGGGATTCTACTTCATCCCTCGGCTTTGCCTTCTTGATCCATGACCCTCTTCTAAGGAAACTCACTCTGGTATCTAACACAGTCTGCCCTGTTCCCACTGGACACGTTCTCTGAAGAAGGATACATCAGATCAACAGCATCTATTTATGTTTCCAGATGACCTGAGGGCAGGGCCATGGGTCAAGCCTTCATGAACCCAAAATGAAGCAGAGATGAGGCTTGCTTTATGGCGATCTGATGATCAAAGCAGATGGGGTAAAGCAGACAGGTATTGATCAAGAGCACTGGACTGGAGTTCAGAGGTTCTGGTTCACCCTGGCCTCTAGGCAAGTCACTTTCCCTTCCAGGGCCTCAGTTTCCCTTCCACCAAATGATAATTAATATTCTGCCTTTTTCCCAGGGTTGATGTGGGGATCGAGGGAGACAGTGGCTAGAGGAATGCTGCATTAACTGCAAATGTGGCTCTAGGAGCACTTGGCTAACTTCCAACGTGAGTTCAGATTCTGCAGGGTATTTGACACGCCCAGGTCTGTGCTGAGGTCTGACATATGGAAACTTTAAGATTTGGTACCTGCTCTGCCCTGGCCGGTTTGGCTCAGCGGTTAGAGCGTCAGCCTGCGGTCCAGAGAGGCCCGGGTTCGGTTCTCGCTAAGGGCACGTACCTTGGTTGCAGTTTGTCCCCGGCCCTGGTTGGGTCATGCGGGAGGCGACCACTCGATGTGTCCCTTTCATGTCAATGTTTCTCTCTTTCCCTCTCTCTTCCTCTCTCTCCCTCCCAATCTGTCTGAACAAAAAATGGAAAAATGTCCTGGGGTGAGGATTAAAAAAGAAAAGATTTGGTACCTGTTCTAACTCCAGTTTTGCCAACACACAGGAAACATTTGGCAAATTGGGGGCCTGCCTCAGGGAAGAGAGCAGTCTGGGGAGCTTCAAGGCAGCCTGGCTTCAGTGAGGTCTGGGTGCTGATTGAGATAAGGCTCCAGGTGGTCGGGAGTTGGGAGGCATTTGGGTAGAGAGCAGCAATGTGGGCAAAGGTTTCGTGTGGGATGCATTGAGGAGAGCCGCTGGCCAGAGCAGAGTGCAGATAGAATGAGGACGAATAAGCAAAGGTTGCCCTAGGTACAGTAGGACAGGTTGGAGAACCCTCAAAGTCCACAGAAAAGTTGGACTTGTTGGAACTCAATGCTGTGGGCAATAGGGAGTCATGGAAGGCTCTTGGGCAGAGAAATGGAACTGGACCCTAAGAAAGCAAAACCTGTTCTTATGGAGCATTGCAGATGGCCCTCTGAGCACGCCAGGCATGAGTGTGCAGGGAGCTGGTGCAAATGCCTCCTGTATGCGGGCGAGCTTCTGTGTTGTGACTCAGGCCACGCGTGTGCTTCGTGTGCCAAGTGGCTGCATGCCCCAGATCCATGCTGCACGTGCCAGCCAGTGGGGGTGCTGGGCAGTGGGAGATGTATGCGTGTTTGTTTGTGGGCATGTGTGTCAGCGTGTGCATGCGGGGCCATGGGGCCTCACAGCATTGTGTGCACGCCCGTGCGTGTGCGTGTGCGTGTCCTCCACCCCCAGGCCTGCCCTGTCTGTGCGTGTGAACTGCCATGTTGATTTCGTGCTGTCTTTCAGAATCACTATCAGTGACCCCTGAGGAGCGTCAGCCATGGTAGGTACATGCCTCTCGGCCTGCTGCATGAATGGTGTGTCTGCCCCCTGCTGCACCAGCTCCACACTGGGGGGCACACCTGGGACTTCAGAGCCAGGCTCCCCTCCCTCTCCCTTCTGCAGCTCCAGACTTATTCTTTCCTCTTTCTGTCCTCACTGCCAGCTGGCTCTCTCCTCCCTTCTCAGCGAGCCTCGGGACTCAGTGCCAGTGCTCCAGATCTCCGTGGCTGAGCCTGGGGAGCTCTTGGGACAGGCTCCGCACCCAAGCTGGCAGACATGGGTGCTCTCCAGAGCTGCCAGAGGGCAGAGAGCTCGTGATTTATGGTGTAGGGGCAGGGAATTCGGAGCGGGTTGTGTGTGGCGCTGGACTCAGGCGGCCAGAGGCCTTGGAACTTCACCCTGAGGGTGCCGTACTCATTTCCCAGTCTGAGCCGTGCTGCTGGGCAGGACAGCCAGCCCGCAGCCCTGGGGCTCTAGGAACTGAATCCACGATAGAGCAGAGAGGGTCAGAGTCCCACCTCTACTGAGCACGATCTGGGGCGAAGGCTCTGGTTGTTTGATTTCTGAAAGCCTGAGGGTCCTATCCACACCATCATCCCACAACACACGTCACAGGTGAGGCAGGGTCCCACAGCCCCTTCCCCTACCTCCTCGGCGTTGTCACGCCTGCCAGTGCACGGCTGAAGGCAGTGTTCTCGGTCCCAGGTGAAGCCCCACAGCCAGCCCATAGGCTCCTAGACCTGGGCCTGTTGCTCCTAAAGGTGGCCTGCACTCTCCAGCCAAGGGGATGACAGTATCTGCTGACCTGGGCAAGTCGGCGTCTCTGAATTCCACCCGGGCTGGGCTGCAGAACTCGCCCGGTGAACCTGCCTGCCACTCTCCCTGCCGCTGACTCTCGTTCTTCTGCTTTTCCCCAGCAGGAAGGGCCCAGCCTCACCTACGCGACCTGCAGTCCCCCGACCATCTGAGGCTCCCCTCTTAGACTTATAGGCCTGTGGCCACTGGCATCGGCTGCCTGTCCTCCCTGCCTCCCCAGGGTCCCTTCAGAGGACTCCTGGCCTTTCTGCCCACCCAGAGGGGCCTCCAGTGCTCCCTCCAGCCATCTTTTAAGCTTTGCCCTCCTGGTTCAAACAGTGTTCTTTCTCCTGTCTTTCCCAGCAGGCCCGGTGGCTGTTGCATGGGGCACACTCCCCCATACTCCTGGAGGCTAGTGGTGGCCTGGGCGAGTGGGTTGAAAGATAGGGGGGCCACAGAAGAAGGAAGCCATAGGGGGCTGAGCTTGTGTCTGGAGCTGTGGGTGCACTGCCTGGTGGTGTGTGAGAGACCAGCGTGTGTGGCAGGGGGAGGTCACCCCAGCCTCCAGCTCAGACCCCCCCCAGACCCCATGAAGCTCTGGCCCCGCCCATCTCCAGCTCCCCCTTCCATCTTCCCTTTCTTGTCTCTCTCCTCTCTTCCAGAACCCTTGCCCACATCCTCACCTGCATCTTCTTCCCCTGCCCTCTCCTCGCACCCCTGCCGGGCTCAGCTGTCCTTGCCTTACCAGCTCTCTCCCTCCTCTCTCCTCTTCTCTCCCTCTGCTTCCTCTCCAACTGCCAGCCGATCGGGTCAGGCAAGTCCATCCCGTCCTGAGAGCCCCAGGCCCCCCTTCGACCTCTAACCAGATCCCTTCTATTCCTCGGAGACTTCTTTCCAAGCCTGCCTGGACAGCTGTTCTGTGACCTGACAGTGGCTCCCAGCCCCAAAGCCTCCCCCTTCATCTGTGACCTAGTCTGTTGTGGTGGTGAGCTGACACACCCAGCGTGACGTTGGTGAAACTTGTGCCCATCTGTGGTATTTCTCCTGCTCTGTTCTATAAATATCTATAAATACTCATATATATATATATATTTACACACACACACACACACACATGGCTGCCACAGTCTCGCCTCTAGTGCTGGGAATCACCATGCTGTCCTTGAGTCTTGTGGCCCAACTGCAAGGGAACACTGTCACCCTGACATCTTCCTCCAAAGCGTGCCACTTCCGCTAAGCTTCCCTGTCATGCCCAGCCTGTGGACAGCCAGCCCGCTCTGCCACCTGCCCATCCCTCGCCCCTGTGCAGGGGCGCCGTACTGGCGCTGCGTGGTTCTCTGACCGCAACCAGTCTTGCTGTCTCTCGGCTGAGAATAAAACCCATTTCTGGACGATGGGGAACAGTGTGTCCTCCGCTGGCTTGTGTTCTCTGTGGCACTCGGGGAGAGATGAAGGTCTAAATATGGGGGTGCAGGGGTTGGGGAAGGGCCCAGCCATTGCTAGGGTGCCATAAGGAATGGTGAAACCAGGCTCCATCCTCTCCAAGGCCTACTAAGCAAGCACCTAGGTATTCGCAGTTCCTCATCCTGTGAATCCCGCTCTGACAACTAGGGGGCAGGAGCACCGTCAGCCTGGAGGGAGGAGGTGGGATGTGGGCCCGCGCTGTGGAGGGACAGAACAAACTGGCCACCAGAGGGCAGGGTCATGGGAATCACCGGCCGGCACGTCGGCTCTCTTGGGTGCTGGCACCCTGCTTTCCCTCCCCGGATTAGATCTCTCTTCTGAGTCAGCCATTAGGGCAGGGCTGCCCCTCAGAGCCCGTGGCCCACCCCTTCGGGCCCCCCAGGCTTCACCAAGCAGCCTCTAGGTGAAAAGTCCCCACTGAACATGCACAGACACACGGGCTCTAAACGATGCAGAAGACTGCCCTCTGCTGGCAGGCCCCACTTCCTGTTCAGTGCCCAGGCACAGAGCCCAGGTCCCAGTGACCCAAAACAAACATGCAAAGCTAGGCAGTATGGCTAAATCCATTTATTCCGAAATAAAACAAATAGAGTCGAATCGACCCCATCCCCGCCTCCTTTCTCTGTCCTATGTTATCAATAAATAAGTTTATTCTTGAATCATAATAATAGGAGTGGCAGGGACGGGGTGGCGGGGACCGGGTGGGGACAGAGCCCCGGCCCCACTTCTCCAGGGCAGCGTCAAGTTGTTAGATCACCATGATCTTCACCCCGGTGTTGTCATCGGCCCGGTAGAAGAAGGGGATGCAGGGGTTTTTGCTCAAGCCTGCGTACTCCTGGGGGCTCTGCAGCTCACACAGCAGCTGCATGATCTGCTGCGCCGTGGAGTTCTCGAGTGCGGCAGGGTCCGGCTCCGCGCTGTCGGCGAGGCTCACCTCCTGGAGGTCTGTGGAGCGCCAGGCAGGGCTCTGAGTGACCTGTGAGCTCGCCCCTGCCCCTGCCCCCTGCCTTCCCCAGAGCTCTACTCACCACCCTGGCTATGAGCAGCTCCAGTTGCCTGGGGGGCTGGGAGGGCTGGAGTGGACTCCCCAGCAGGGCTCTGGGCAGCCCCCAGGAACTTGCCATACAATTCATTACGTTCGCTCACCAGGCGGACCACCAGCTCCTGCAGCTCCAGGAGCTTCACCTGGAGAAAGGGGGGCTGAGCAGCCACACCCAGCTCTTGGCCCCTCCCACAGAGGTGGTCAGGGCCCCTACCTTCATATCCTCCTTGTCCTTCGCCAGCCGGCTAATGTACTCCTCCTTCTCGCGGTGGCGCTCCTTCAGCACTGCCCTCTGATTCTGATAGAGGGTGATGTAGTCTCCTGCGAGGACGGGCAAGGGCAGGCGGGTGGCAGGGCTCAGCTGCTGGGGTTCCCCATCCACCATACAGCACCCCTGCCCCAGGCCCTGGCCTTCCTGCTCACCAATAGTATCTGTCTCTCCAGACAGCTGAATGCAGCGATGCTCCAGCTCCTCCACCCGCTCCTTCAGATCCACGTTCTCTTGCATGAGCTCTGTAAAGCGGCTCTGCAGCCAAAGAGTAGGGTCCGGGCTCAGCTGCCACCTGCCCCGCCCATCCCCACCCTTCCCAACCCTTGCCGGGGGACACTCACTCACCTGCAGCTTGTCCATGGCCACCTGGAGGGCCTGGTGGGTCTCTGCGGGCACACTGTGCCCCCCAGTGCCCAGGGCTGGGCTCTCCTCCTCCAGCTTGTGCTGGGATGGGGCTGCCAGGCGAGCCAGGCACTGGCAGCGTAGCTTTTGCTTCTTCAGCTCCTTGCGTAGCCGCGACTGTTCTTCCTCAGCACTGGCTAAGGCCGTGTTAAAAAATGCCACCTGTGGGCAAGAGGTGTGTGTGTGCTTTTATGGGGCAACACTCAGGACAAGCGGCAGAGGCAGAAAGGAGCTCCCCGTCACCGGGCCTCTGGACACACCTGTGGTTCAAGGATGGGTCGTATCTGACCATCGGCTCCCCAGGGAGGTTGGGAATCAAGAAAAGTTAGAGGGTAGAGATCAAGAGGCAAGAAGGACATCTAGGAGGGACCTCAGAGGGAGGCAGGAAGGTGGGGCAGGGAAGGGGCAGAGGTCAGCTCACCATGGCCTCTCGGCTATCTAGGTCCTCTGGCATGCTCAGCTGTGGCCGGGGAGCCTCCTCCTCTGTCTCCTCCTCTTCATCCAGCCCACCACCTGTTGGGGCCAGCCAAAGGGTCCTCAGACAACCCACAGGGAGGTGGGGCAGCCCGGGAAGACTGCTCAGGACCCAGCTCTGCTCTGCCTCACTGTGCGACCCAGTCCCCAAAGGAAAAGGATTCACTGTCCTAAAGGTCTCTTCTAACTCAATTCTATGCTGCTAGAAGTCCCCCTCCTCTTTGGGCTCTGTCCTCTCCCTCTGGGTAGTTCCAATTACCTTCCCCAGGCAGAGCCATGAAGCTCAGCTGGGCCTGTAGCTGCTGGTTCTGCTGGTTGACAGCTTCCAGGAGCCCCTAAGGGGCCAGGAGAGAGCATGAGAAGGGGCACAGGCTGCAGGCCTTCCCACTCAGGGCTCAGGAGCGCAGCACTCCAACTCCCTCACCTGGGCCTCCTGCAACTCTTGGCGGGCCAGCTTGGCCTCCTCCTGGCTCTGAACTTCCTCTTGCTGCTGTTGCTCCAGGAGCTGGGAGTGCAGCAGGACCTGCTTCTGCAGTGCGTCTCTGTCAACGGCCAGCTGCTGATAGGCGGCCACGTACTGCTGCAGGTAACTCAGATACTGGTCCCGCTGCTGCTGCAGACTCTGAGCCTCCTGGCTCTTCAGCTCCACCTGTGGGAAGACCCTGGGTGTGAGGGCAAGTGGTGGCTTGCTTTGACTGTGAGCCCACAGCTCGAGGAGACCGGGCACAGGCGCCTGTGCCTCAGGCAGGCACTGAGGGGCGCAGCTGCCTGCCCAGCCCCTGGCTTGCTCACTCCAGCGCCTGAGTGACAGCCTCCCTTGTCCAGAGCTCCATGCTGCCTTCCCCGAGCCTCACACCTCACCGCACCCTGCTTCCTATTTCAACTTTAGGCCACAGACTTGTGGGAAAACAGAACACGCCAGCTGCCCTGGCCGGTTTGGCTCAGCGGTTAGAGCGTCGGCCTGCGGTCCAGAGAGACCCGGGTTCGGTTCCCGCTAAGGGCATGTACTTCGGTTGCAGTTTGTCCCCGACCATGGCTGGTCGTGCAGGTGGCAGCCACTCGATGTGTCCCTTTCACATCGATGTTTCTCTCTCTCTCTCCCTCTCTCTCCCTCCCACTCTATCTGTACAAAAAATGGAAAAATGTCCTCCGGTGAGGATAAAAAAAAAAAAAGAACACGCCAGCTGACATCTGCTAAGTGCACACTAAATGCCTGATACTTTACATGCGTGGCTCTCATTAGTCCTCAAAACCTGTGAGGAAAGTGCCCGTCTCCCTTTTAGGTTAAGGGAACTGAGGCTTAGAGATGCGACGTGAATAGTGACTAGTGGGGCTGAGCTTAGAATCCAAGGCAAAGAGCCGCCCACCATATCCGTCCACATCTCTTCCCCTCTGATGGAGCTCAGTGCCTCTACTGGAGATGATGACCTACCGCACAGAGGGCCGTGCACCTCTCAAGGTCAGAGGGCAGGGGCAACAGTCACAGGCTCCAAGGAACTCTGGGATCACCTGTGTCTCTAGGCTGGAGCTGTTCTGTCTCTGTTCTGGCCCTGGCACCCGGCTCCCCCTCACCCAAGTGCCTCCCTCCCCAGAGGCCAGTGCCTGTCTTGGGGCGCTTCTCGGCGGGGGCGGAGTTACCGTCTCCTTCAGCTCCCCCAGCTTCTCCTGTAGCTGGCCCAACTTCTTGGCGAGCTCATTCTTGACATACTGCTCCGTCTGAAGCATGCTGGTGATCTCCATATTCTCATTGGTCTGGACAGAGAGAAGCGATCAGTGGCTCCCCAATGCAGCTGGAGACACCAGAACTTGATGTCCACCTCCCGCAGCTCAGGGAAGGGTAGAGGCAGGTGGGAAAACCCCTCCGTCCCCACATCCAGCAGCGCAGGCTCTCTGGCTCACAGGATGCCTTCACAGTCTCCGTTCCTTGTAAGGACCACACCACCCCATTTTAAAGGTGGGAAAACCAAGGCCAGAGGGGTTAAGTGTCTTGTCCTGCACGACAGGACTCAGCAAGGGAGGGCAGGCGGGCAGGCGGGGCGGCGCACCAGCCTGACGAAGCTGTCCTGCAGCTCAGCCAGCTGCTCCTTGAGCTCGCGGTTCTGGGACAGCGCCCGGCTGATGGTGGTGCGGTCGCTCTGCATGTCCTCCAGAATCTGCTTGCGCATCTCCGCCTGCTCGCCCCAGCGCTCGGCCTCCTGCTCTAGCTCCAGCAGTCGCTGGCCCTGCTCCTGATTCAGGCGACTCAAACCTTCATTGTCCTGAATTTGGGCCCGCAGCTGCCCGGCCAGGGTCTCCAGCTCCTGTTGTAGCTGTTCCGCTTTGGCTTGTAGCTGCTGTTCCACCTCTGAGGGCCCTGCTGGGGGCTCCTGGGGCGGGGGGGCAGCTGAGAAGGGAAGCACACCATCAGGACCTCTCGCCTCTAGAGTCTCAAAAAATGCTCTTCTTGGTCCGTAGCTCCTAACTCAGCGTCCTCACCCAAAATCTTGGCTTCCTGGCTAATAATTCCTCACACTCACATGACGTTCAATCTTTCCAGATACTTTCAAATAGAGTTCTTTACATTCCTATGCTCCAAACAACCGTGCGTCGCTGACAGTGGGCACTCCACCCCTTTTCCAGGAAGGGACAGTGAGGCCTAGAGAGATTGCAGGACTTGCCAACTCCGGTACACACCTCCTTCCCTTTGCCACAATGTCCTTCCGTCCACCCACCTCCTTGGGGGCATTCTAGCCACCCTCACCCGACACGAGTCCTGCTCCCAGATCACTCCAGCCTCAGCTTACCTAACTGATTCCTCAGTTCAGCCAAGCTGGTCTCCAGCTCCTGCACCTGACTCACGCTGTGCTCCTTCTCCTCCCTCAGCTTGCACATCTGCCCAAAGCAGGGAGAGGGTGAGGGAGGGGATGGAGGATGGCCAGCGACCGTCTCCCTCTTACCCCTCCTACGAAACACACATATCCAGCCCTGGCCGGGTAGCTCAGCAGGTTAGAACACCGTCTCAATGAGCCAAGATTGTGGTTCAATCTCCAGTCTGGGCACATACAAGAATCAACCAATGGCCCTGGCTGGTTCTGCTCAGTGGTTAGAGTGTCAGCCTGTGGACCAAAGAGTCTTGGGTTCAATTCCAGTCAAAGGCATGTACCTCAGTTGCGGTTTGTCCCCGGACCTGGTCAGGAGCGTGCAGGAGGCAACCAATCAATGTGTCTCTCTCATATTGATGTTTCTTTCTCTCTCTCCCTCCAACTTTGTCTAAAAATAAATAGAAAAACATCCTCTGGTGAGGATTAAAAAGAATCAACCAATGGATGCCTAAATAAGTGGAACAGATCAATGTCTCTCTCTCTCTCTCTCTCTCTCTCCCCCCCCCTCTCTCAAACCAATAAATTTATAAAAAAATTTTTTTAAACAACATGGCCTAGCTGGTGTGGCTCAGTGGTTGAGCATCGACCCATGCACCAGGAGGTCGCAGGTTCAATTCCCAGTCAGGGCACATGCCCAGGTTGTGGGCTCGATCCCCAGTTGGAGGCATGTTCTCTCTTATCGATGTTTCTATCTCTCTCTCCTTCTTCCTTCCTCTCTCTCTAAAAAAGCAACAACAACAACAACATGGCCCTGGCCGGTTTGGTTCAGCAGTTAGAGCGCCAGCCCGCAGACCAAAGAGTTGTGGGTTCGATTCTGGCCAAGGGCACGTACCTCGATTACAGTTCAGTCCCCGGCCCTGGTCGGTGTTGTGCGGGAAGCAACCAGTCGATGGTTCTCTCTCTCTTCCTCCCACCATGTCTGAAGATAAATGGAAAAATATCCTTGGGTGAGGATTAAAAAAAAATTAAAAATAAAACAACAACATGCCCTGCACTGTAGAGCACCAAGGACAAGGCTGCTGCTCTGGGGCGCGGGTGCTGAGCACGGTGCTCGGGGAGGGAGGGAGAAGGGGCTGAAGGGCCTGCCAGGCAGGAAGAGAGCTGCCGTGGTCTTTTGCAGGGAATGAAGTGTGACATGCAGTCCCTCCAGAACAAACACTCATAGAGTGAGAGCAATAAAACAAACAAAAACACATTCACCTCTGGCTGCACACACAAGTGATATGCTTCCCATTTTACAAATGCCCAGAATGATCAAGTGACCTACCTAAGGTGGGGGCCAAAGGTCACATCTCACCTGCTCTGACATCTGCTGCATCTTCTGTTGCCAAATGGCATTCTCTTCTTTCAGATTCTCTGCATACTGGTCTCTCTCCACCTGCAGCTGTTTCAGCAAATCCTTCAGCTGCAGGAATGGGCACAGAAGTCAGCAAGGGCTGGCTCTGGGCCTTACCTGCTCCTGGTCACCCGGAGTCATTCTGTCACACCTCGCCCTCGGCAAAGCCTCACCTGCTCCACCCGTGTCTCCAGCTGGGCCCGCTCCTCCAGGGCCTGCTGCAGCTGCTCCTTGCTATCAGGGGTTTCAGACTGACTAGAAAACTGGACGGTGAAAATGAGGTTAGATCTGGGGAGCCCAAAAGGTTCCACACAATGCTCCCCCAAAGGGTCTGAACTAGGATCAACATACAACTCGAAGTCAATAAAGAACTCTGTCCTCATATTATCAGCACCATGTCCATAGGGTTCATATTTACTAAATACTCATTGTAAACTATTCAAACAATGAGTCTTCAAAGTCCTCCCAACCTTTCCTCTAGCGCCCCAATCCTACCAATCTCGTGTGTATCCTTCCAGACCCTTTCTATACCTACGCAAACATGTTTAATTACTGCACATTACAGTTGTGTTATCTTGGGGTGCTGACATATATGGTTCTGCAACTTATTTTCACTTTGCTGCATACAAGATACATTTAATTTGTGTAATGGTCGCACAGCAGTCCAATTCGTGAGTAGTGCATACTCTCGCCATACCCTTACTGAGAACATCTCACATGGCTATAAAGAGAAGACTCCACACTGGTGCTGGGCCTCGAGGGGGAGCGGTTGGCTCAAAAACATGAGGAGCCATCTGAACTTCAGAGCACCCTGAAGCTCTAACTTCTTGTATCTCTAGTAGGCACTTAGACTGCCCATCTCGGAAACAGGCACAAAGATTGCCCTAAATGGTGGATGAATGCAGGGTGGGGAGAGGTTAGCTGCCCAGGCCAGACCAAATTTGGAGATGCATATTTCACTCTGGGGTCCTGATCACAGAGGAGCCAACGACCAGGTCACATCCTGGAGAGAGCCATCAGGAAGGCGACAGCATGAGGAACACTTGAAGGAGCTGGGGCTGTATCACTCAGAAGATCTTAGGAAGGACAGGAACTCACACACACCCCCTTTCAGAGGGTCTGTCTGGGGAAAGAGTTGAGACTTTCCTGTGTTGCTCCGGAGGGAAGGAAGATCCCCGTTCCGTGAAGGCAGAGTACTGCTCAGTGTGACGAAACTGAAGAGGAGGAGCCCTCTGACCCGGGCACCCTGACTACCTGGTGGCTTGGCCCCCCAAGAGGAAGAAAATAGACTCACAGTCTAGCCTGATAAATGGCACCTCTAAAACAATGTTTTTCAACCAGGATGGTTTTAAAAACAAAAGTGAAAAAGCCCTATCCCTAGGATTCTGATTCTGATCCCATAGTTCTAGAGGATTCTATGGCAAGACCAGAATAAGGATTCAAATTGTTTAGCCCGTCTGGGGGTCACCCGCAACGATCGCAGACGCTTGCCCCAGCTGGGGGGCCTGCACTCCCTGGGCCCAGCCCCTCACTTGTTGCAGCAGCAGCTCTGACATCTCCAGCTTCTTCTGCAGCTCGTCCATCCTGAGCTGCAAGACCTCCTTGTCTGTCACCAAGACCCGAAGCTTCTCCTGCAGCTCTGAGTTCTCCTGCTTCAGGTCTTCATTTGTTTTGCTGTGGCCAGAGGCAGTGGAGAACAAAGAACAGAAAGGATCCTTTGGTGATCAACCCACCACCCTCACCATAGAACCACAGAGTAGTGGCACTGGAAGGGACCCCAGGATCAAGAGTCACAAGTGACAGGCCAGAGAGAGGACAGGAGTTGCACAAGGCCAAGCAGGAGCCGGCACGGCAGGGACCAAAGCCTGCTTTGCCCGTGTCCAAACCTGGACAACTCCTCACCGTGCTCCTGCATCCCTCCCACTTCCCAGCACCGCACCCGGCCCGGGGCCCCCAGGCCTCCCCCACCCCCATCCTACTTGTTCTTGTATAACTCCAGCTTTAGGGCGTCACGATTTTTGGTGAGTTCTTTGTTGTACTGCAAATACAGAAAGGCGAGGTCAGGCCTGGGCAGGCGGCAGGTGAGCGGGCAGGCTCGCAATCAGTCCCAGTAACGGCAGCACTGGCTGCCCTGGAGTCACACTCTACATTTTCCCCAAGCACTTCCAAGGCCGTGTGCTCATCTGCTTTTATAAGAACTCGGCAAGGGTGGAAGAGGCAGGCAGGAGGAGCCAATTCCCGCCTGGCTGACCCAGGCCCAGGAGAGCAGACAGCAACGCTAGCATCACTATTACCCTCGTCACTTCTGAACTGAGCACTTTACCCGGCACTGTGCTGACCCTCCGAGTCCTCACAATCGCCACAGGAAGCAGGTGCAATTATTATTTCCATTTTACAGGTGAGCAACACGGAACACTGGAGGTGAATTCACTTGCCCAAAATCACTTAGAGCTACGACTTAACACTTAGGTCTGTCTGGTTCTTTAACCACATTTTCTTCCTGTGGTGGGGGCACAACATCAGGGGAGAATTACGTCTTTATTGTAATCTTTCATTCATTTCGAATGGCTGATACACTGACATAGCCCCAAACTCAGAAGGCACAGAAGTGACGTCCCCCGGCCATCCTGTTCCTCTCCCCTGGGATTTTATGAATCCTTTTAGACATGGCTTACATCACACACATGCGCACGCGCGCGCGCACACACACACACAGCTCCCTTTTCCACACACTTATCAAAAATACTGGTCTTGCCCTGGCCAGTTTGGCTCAGCGGTTAGAGCATCCGCCTGCGGTCCGGAGAGGCCCAGGTTCGGTTCCCGCTAAGGGCATGTACCTCGGTTGCAGTTTGTCCCCGGCCCTGGTTGGTCGTGCGGGTGGCAGCCACTCGATGTGTCCCTTTCACATCGATGTTTCCCTCTCTCTCTCTTCCTCTCTCTCCCTCCCACTCTTCTGTACAAAAAATGGAAAAATGTCCTCGGATGAGGATTAAAAAAAAAAAAAAAATACTGGTCTGTACCCGTGCAGCCCAAACACCCCGGACTCGGCGAAGGCCCACTCCAGTTAAGGGGAGGGCTGGCACACAGGCTCGGGCTCTACACCCAGTGCCCGCCCTGGACAGTGCACTCCAACACCCACGGAACCAACTCACCCCCGGGCTGCTTCTAATAACCCACACAACTTTAAAGCAGCAAGAAATGGCCCACGCTGCCTTCTGGGCAGAGACACTCCATGCTAACGGAAGGACCTCGAGCCCTGGCTGGTGGCTCAGTTGGCTGGAGCATCATCCTGTGCACCAAAGGGTTGTGGGTGTGATTCCTGGTCAGGACACATAAACCCAGGTTGTGTGTTCAATCCCCTAGTCAGGGCATGTACAGGAGGCAACCAATCGATGTTTCTCTCTCCTTCTCCCTTCCTATGTCTCTAAAATCAATTAGAAAACATATTCTCAAGTGAGGATTAAAAAAATAAAGATACAGGACTTTTTTTTTTATCCTCACTCGAGAACATTTTTCCATTTTTTGTTCAGGTAGAATGGGAGGGAGAGAGACGAACAGAGAGAGAGAGAGAAACATCGACGTGAAAGGGACACATCGAGTGGCTGCCACCCACCAGGGCCGGGGACAAACTGCAACCGAGGTATGGCCCTTAGCGGGAACCGAACCTGGGACTCTCTGGACCACAGGTGGACGCTCTAACCGCTGAGCCAAACCGGCCAGGGCCAGGACATTTTTTTTTTTTTTAAAAAAAAGAAACCTCATTGCCCAGCTGGTGTGGCTCAGTGGATTGAGCATCATCCCATGCACCAAGAGGTCACTGGTTCGATGCCCAGTCAGGGCACATGCACGGGTTCCAGGCCCCACCCCCAGTAGCGGGCGTGTAGGAGGCAGCCCATCATTGGTCTCTCTCATCGATGTTTCTCTCTCTCACCCCTCTCCCTTCCTCTCTCTCTCTAAAAAAATAAAAAAGAAAAAAAGAAAAACAACCATATTTTTAAAAGGGGACCTTGAGGCTCACTGCCCCTCGGGGAAGCTGCACCTCCTCTGGGGGCTGGGGCGGCTGGGCTCACCCTGTCCGCCTGTTTCTGCTGCGTGGACACGGCACACAGCGTCCGCTCCAGGTCGCCGACGCGCTGCTGGGAAGACTGCAGGAGCCCAGCGAGATCCTCGGCCTCTCCTGGAATGACAGAAACGGAGCCCAGAGCAGGAACGCCACTGCAGGCCTGCCCCGGTGCCGAAGGACAGCGGCGCGGCTGGAGCCCCACCTGTTTTTTGCCTGGCTGCTTGCTGAGTGTGGGCCAGGGCTGTCTGCAATTCTGTCTTCTCAGACACTAGAATCCCTATGGTCTGGATATGAATCTTTGGGAGAAAAGCCAAACAAGTGCTGAGGAAGCGGGAAAGAAAGATCTAGACAACACGAGGACTGCACTACAGCCCGCGTACCTGTAACTGCTCTCTCAGAGCCCCCTGTTCCTTCGCAAGCTTCTGCTTATATTCCTGCTTCTCCTGTGGGAAGAGAGGAGACATCTTATGGGCGGAGGCAGAAATGAGACGGCAAAGGACGTGCCCCAGAATGCCCCCGATGGCCCAGGACAGGCCCACCAGTGAGGCCAAGTTGGGGTGGGAGGGAGCAGGGGACGAGGGGAGGGGAACAGCCAGGGTGGGGTAGGCCCTTTATTTTTCCAGGCTGAGTCCTCCCCCAAACCCCTCAGCCACGTAATGAGCAGACAAAGAAGTCATGTTTACTTTTTCTAGTTGATCCACAATTTCCTGGTTCTGTCGTTTCTGTAAAAAGAGTCAAAGGACGGCGACTGAGGTTTTCCCCTTCACTGTGCTCCCCAGACAAGGACGATGGACAGGCACCAGGAATGGGTAGGAAAGGGAGAGCTCAGAGCTCCCGAGCACAGAGGCTCTGGGTCTAGGGTGGTTTTGCTCCCAGCTACATAAATGAGTGTCTCACCGATTCCTGTGAGACAATGACATAAAACCTTAGCACTGGCGTTTGGGAAGGGAAAGACTACCCTCCGCCCGGGGTGCGGAGGGGTGCATTCATTCACCGGGTATTGACTGAGCACACTCCACCAGACGGGTTCTGTTCTCAACAGAATGAAAAGGAATAAAAGGACCTCCTAATCTTTGATTTCTTTGAGCTAAAAGGGACTTTTTGGACACCCTCTAATTCTGCCTCCTCAGGAATGAAGTCCGGAGAGAAGTGACTTGTTCAAGGTCAAACACAGAGCAAACTTGGGGCAGGGTCAAGGGTCAGAACACAAGTCAAGCCAGTGCTTCCGGCCAAGGCAACAGCGCCACTAAGCGAGTGTGGAGCGGGCTCCGCAAGCAGGGTTTCTGGAGGAGAGCAAGCAAAGAGGGCAGCACAGAAACAGCCATGCCACATGCTCCACACTCTGGGGGCCCTCCAGCTGAGACCTAGGCCCCCGGCACCCCCTTCTCCCTTGGCAGCAGGGGCCCCAGCCCCTTTCTTCAGATCCCCATATTGGCAGTGTGGAATCAGGGACCCCACTAGACTCTTACCAATTCCTCTATCTCGCTACTGAGTTGTTTGTTTGTTAGATTGCTGGAGTCCAGGGCTAGAGAGAGCTCTTGATACCGGCTCTGAGGCGCATGCAGAGAGGAGTTGGAGGAGGGGTGGGGGGAGAGGTAGAGAGAGCAATCATTAGGGTTGGGGGTATCTGGGCTGTCTCAGCTGGCAGCAGGGGACCCAGCCCTCTGTTGGGGTCGGGGGGCTGGCCTGAAGGGTCACTGGACCACAGTCCAGGGCCACTCACCTCCAGAGCCTTTATATTAGCAGAAGATGCTAGACCCTCCCCATTGACGAAGGATGCAGACTAGGAGAGAGGAAAGAGCTCACATGAAGGTGCTCTCTGTCCCTCTCCATGCCGAAGCCCCCCGGCTTCCTGTCTTCCCCAGCAACTGGCAAAATTGTCTTTTCTGCCTAAGTTGGTCCCCTCCTCCCGTAACCCCTTTGCGCCAACCTCTCCCGGTTCTTCTCTCTCCCTCACCCCACTCCTCCCAAGCGGCTCTCATCCTGTGCTGTCTGCAGCAGGATGAAATGATGTCACCAATGTCGTGGTCCAACTCCTTCATCTGTACAGCTTCAAAGGAGACTCGGAGAAGGAATGACTAGCTAAACCTCACTCAGTTGACTGCTCCCAGCATCTTCCTCCCTCTTGGGAATGTCTGCCTCGGTTTCTATCACACTTTCCTCCCCCCTCCACCCCCTCTGAACTCCAGTTTCTGGGGTACCTCACAGACGAGACCATTGAGCTGCTGGGAAAGCTGACGCAGGCTCTCGGTAGATGAGAATCTGGGGATGAACACAGGAGTCAGGGGTGCAGGAGGGGAAAGAAGGGGTCCTGGCCAGTGGCCTGACCTGATCCCTCAGCCTAGAAACTGCTGCCCCCAGAGGAGACACTCACGTGCTTTCAGACAGGACAAAGGGAACATTTTCAGGATCATAGTTCTGTTTGGGAAGAAACGTAGGAGGTAAGAACCCAGGGGTGAGGTTAGCCGAGCTCATTCTAACAACCTTCCGTCTCCCCGAAACTTAAGGAAAAATCTGGTCTCGGCCTCCCCCGCCTCAGGCCTCAGGAAGGGTACTTGGCTCCAGGAACCAAGCCACCTGGAGAAAGGAGGGAAGAGTCCTTAGTGGGCCCAGTCCTCTAGGAAGGAAGAGGGGCGAACATCGAGTGGGCAGCGGGCAACGGGGGAAGAGCCACCAACCTGAGTTGACGAAGTAGCACTGGGGGAAAGGACACCAGCAGGTGACATGGTGTCATCAGAAGGCCGTGCTGCAGGAGCGGTGTGGTCTTTGGGAGCCTGTCACAGAAAAGAATCAGGGATTAGGGGGATATGCAGGAAAGAAGGCTTCTCGCTGCCATGGATGCAGGGGTGCAGAGCAGGTAGGACAGGTGTTGCTGCAGTCAGAGTGACAGTCACACATGCTGGGAGCCACTCGGGGGTGTGTGTTGGGCTCGCCGAGGCCTCAGGCCGCTCTGCGACCTTCTGGCCGGCCAGAGCTGTAAGCAGGACTCAAGATGCCCGTGAGCACAGGCTCCGGCTCCCCCTGGAGCTCCGCAGACAGCACCGGGGTCCTACGAGTGGCAGCCACAGGTGGGAGGAAGGTGTGCCAAGTCAGGGAGAAGGGGGAGTCTGGCTGTGCCTCAGTGACCCTCATGGGCCCCTGCTGGGCAGAGGGTGCAGTGATGAAGAAGCAGGCGTGGTCAATGCAGCTCTTTCCTCTCTCTCTCTCTCCTGCCTTCCGCCTCCCTACAACCACTGGCTGCCTTTGCCCGACTCAGGTCTTTTCTGGGAAAGAAGTTGCCCAACTAGAAGCCTCTCCCTGTTCCTGAAGGTAAAAAGTCACCCCGCCCCAACCTCCTCCCTCCAAAACAACTACCCAGCCAAGAAACCACCTGAGAACCCAGCGGCAAGCTCTCCGCCTCTGACTGTGGGCTTCCTGAAGACCAATCCTGGACTGGGGACCAGGCGCCATGGAGAAGCCACTCTTTCTCCCCGCTGGCCCCACTGCTCGACCGGAGCCCGCCAGCCCCTCTCCGGGCTCAAGCCTGACACTGAGTCCAAGACTCCGGCTCTAGAGAGCTAACGTCCAACAGGTCAAACAGCAAAGAAACAGGAAGATGAGTGACAAGCTGAAGCTTGACAAGGGAAAGTAGTAGGGAGCCACAGCCTCTCCAGGGAAGCCGGGTCCCAGAGGAAGAGGCTGCACCTCTCTGGTGGAGGTGGGGGGCGGCCCATTCTCCAGAACCCTCAGCTCTGGCCTCTGAAAGTCCCAATCTGCCACCCTCCTTAGAGCAAGAGCTGCAGAGCCCGGGGAGCTCTGGCTGAGCTGTTTGCATTACTGTCCACTCTGTGACCTTTGGCCCCGGAACCTGGTGTTGCCTTGCCAACCTGAGCAACTGACTCTAATAGGTAAGCACAGGGGTTCTGAGCTGACCGGGCAGGATGCTTTCGGGGAGGTGGGCACCCTCCCAGCCGTGGGCCCCAGCAAGCTAGGTCCCTCCTGGCATCTCAGATTCCCAATGAGCCCTAGCATTAGACACAAAAAAGCTCAGAGGGAAAAAAAGTACTTTTCTGACAACTTAAACAGATATAACATGACTATTTTGTGAGCAACCAAATCATTTCACAATTTTAAGTCATGTAGCTAAATAAGGATAATTCTAAATATCCATTTTAATAATTTTGATGTTTTTAAAAATACTGTCCAGCCCTGGCCGGTGTGGCTCAGTTGTTGAGCATCATCCTGTGCACTGAGGGCTGCGGGTGTGATTCCGGTCAGGGCACATGCTGGGGTGTGGCACGATCACCTGGAAGGGGTGTGGCAGGAGGCAGCCGACGCATGTTTGGTTCGCACATCAACGTTTCTCTCTCTCTCCCTCTCCTTTCCTGTCTAAAAATCAATAAAAATGAATAAATAACTTTAAAAATAAAAACACTGTCCACTCCCCTTAAATGTTCCATTCCATTTAAAAAAATTTTATTTCTCTATTATTCCCCATTCCTGGAAATGCTATATTTCTGCCTAGGACATTGCCTGCATTACTGGAGTAGAAACCTTAAGTAGGAAACGGTTACTGATAAAGAGAGGATTTAAAAAACAAGAAGGGACCCTGGCCAGGTAGCTGCTGGTTGGAGCATCGTCCCGAAGCACCAGGGTTGCAGGTTCAGTCCCTGGACCGGGCACATGCAAGGACCAACTGGATGAGTGAAACAACAAAAATCAATGTTTCTCTCTCTCTCTCCCTTCAAACAAAAATCCAAGACGGGCCTATGGGAATTTGCACCTCCACTTCCAGAAGAACGCAGGGAAGTGGGCACAGATCATCAGTACATGTTCAGCTTCAGGGTCCCTTCAGGCCTGGGCTGCCCTCCCTGTGCCGCTCGGGCTGCCAGGGTGAGTCACAGCACCTGGAGAGACCTGACCCACAGGATGTGAGCAGTCCTGACGACCGAAACACTAATCCCAGCCAGCGGGGCCCTGCCCCAGCCCTCCTCCCCAGGCCCCTCTCCAACAGGATCGGGCCCATTTCAGCTCTCCTCCTCTGGCCTGGCAGACGTCCCCCCAGGAAGTTCATGAAGGAGGAAGTGCCAACATCACGTCGGGAGGCCATCTCCTGGCCCAGTGTACACCAGGCTCCCCGCCTTTCTGGAATGTGTTCTGTGAGCTCATAATCCTGGCCGTTACCTGTCCACACCCTTGGCCTGAAACTTCCATTTTCTCCTCTCTCCATATGGACGGATGTTACCCATCTCTGATCTTCAAACCGGCTTCGAATGCCACCCCTCCTGCCTCAAGTCCACTTAAACCCAGCATCTTCCTCAGCTGAGCATGTGGAATGTGGCCACATTCTATCTTGCCCCTTTCAGAGCCTTCCTCCCGCAGTGGGCATTCTATCTGGTTCCATATTTTCTCTGGGGCCCAGCTAAGTGCCTCTGCTATCACGGGCCCACTGAACATGGTTAAGTGTCCATATTTTACTTTTACTCCCTTTCTCTTAACCCTAGGTAGCTGACTCTCAAACCAAAATCAATCAATCAACTTGAAAAATCACAAAATGCTCTGCAGTCTATTGGTCTTTTGGGGACAGATGCCCACAGGGCAAGTCCTGAAGGTTTGGTTTTATTTAGTCTCTTAGTCTGAGCACCATTGGACATTTAAATTTGAAGTTCAAAAAGCCAAAATCCTGCCCTGGCCGGTGTGGCTCAGTTAGTTGAGCATCATCCCATGCACCAAGAGGTCACTGGTTCGATTTCCAGTCAGGGCACACGCCCAGGTTGTGAGCTTGATCCCCAGTGGGGGTGTGCAGGAGGTAACCCATTAATGGTTCTCTCTCTCTCTTTCCCTTTGTCTCTCTAATATCATCAAAAACATATTTTTTTTTAAAGCCCAAATCCTACACACCTGTTTTGGAAGCTATTCCCATTAACCTTCAAGGTGCATCTCACCTTCTCCAAGATGATAAAAGGTGTGGGGCAAGAAAAAAAAAAAAAAAAACAACCACACAGGTAAAAAAGCAGACATGAACAGGCTGAGGGTTAATGATAGCAACATAAAAATAAGCCAGAGACAAAGTACCCCCCAAACCAGAGAAGCCTCGGGGACATGCACAGCTGGGAGAGAACAAGCCAGAGAGGGGTCTCAGCACTGCCTCACCTTCCAATTGTCCAATGGGGAGAGCGCTACCCCATTGGAATGGCTAAGGTCGGACACCAACACCTTCAGAATGTCCTGAATCTATAGGAAGCGAAAAAGGAAAAACAAGGGCAGGGGGAGAAAGAGAAAAGTGGCTTAGAGAGAGGCATGAGAGTCAGGGGAGGAAGAAGAGATGGGTTCAGGGAAATTAAATGCTGGAGAAGAGAGAACCGTGCCTGTGCCATCTTTCCAAACAGCCACTTGCTGTCTTGCCACGGGCAGAAATCAATGCAAATGAACAAATGGAAAAGTTCCCTGAACAATGCAGTCACCCAGAGTGGAGTCACCTGACCAGTGCAACTCTGAATACACTCATCAGACCCTCTCCTCAGGCCAAGGATGTCGGGGCTGAATCCCAAGGGCTCCAGACCCTGACCCCCATTTTAAAAACCAGACTTCCATGTAAAGGTGTGCTTGAACAAAAGGGATTACAGCTAAAATTAAGTTGGAAAGACACTGATCTGATCCAACAATATCATCTTACAGATGAGGAAACTGAGGCCTGAGGGAGGAAGTGATTTTCCTGAGGTTGCCCAGAGAGGGACTCGATAGTCCTACTCCAGTGCCTGGGGCTCTCCTCACCATACCCTGGGGCTCTTTCAGTGCCTCTTAAAGGGAGAGCCTAATGGCAAGCGGAAGGCTGTTCTCACAGCCTGGCTTCCCCTTGAGGCTGGGGATGAGAAAAACCACCAGAGCAGTAAGTCCAATAGCAACTACCCTTTATTGGATATTTATTCCACACCAGACCCTGTAGTAAAGGATTAATATAAAATCAACAATGTCATTTAAACGTCATAAGTGTAAGACCAGAGACCCAAATGCCTTAAACAATTTGCCCAAACCATATTCCGAGCAGAAGGAGAGGTAGAATTAAGAATTCAAGCCTGGCTTGGCCGGTTTGGCTCAGCGATTAGAGCGTCGGCCTGCGGTCCAGAGAGACCCAGGTTCAGTTCCCACTAAGGGCATGTATCTCGGTTGCAGTTTGTCCCCAGCCCTGGTTGGGTCGTGTAGGTGGCAACCACTCGATGTGTCCTTTTCACGTTGATGTTTCTCTCTCTCTCTCCCTCCCACTCTATATGAACAAAAAATGGGGGGAAAAAGTCCTCAGGTGAGGATAAAAAAATTTTTAAAAATAATTCAAGCCTGGCCCAGCCGGTGTAGCTCAGTGGATTGAGCGTTGTCCCATGAACTGAGAGGTTCTGGTTCAATTTCCACTGTGGGCACATGCCCAGGTTGCAGGTTCAATCCCCATAGGGGGCATGCAGGAGGCAGCCAATCGATGTTTCTCTTACATTGATGTTTCTATATCTCTCTAAAAAAAACAATCAATTAAAAACAAAAAACATGTTAAGAATTCAAGCCTCGCCCAGCTGGTATGGCTCAGTGATTGAGCACCAAGAGGTCACCAGTTGATTCCTGGTCAGGGCACATGCCTGGGTTTCTGGCTCCATCCCCAGTAGGGGGCATACAGGAGGCAGCTGATAAATGTTTCGCCTGTCTCCCTTCCACTATCTCTAAAAAACCAATAAAAACCTTTTGGGGAAAAAAAAAGGAATTAAAGCCTGACCAGAGAGGCTCAGTTGGTTGAGCACTGTTCCTGTGCATCAAAAGGTTGCAGGTTCAGCCCTGGCCGGTTTGGCTCAGCGGTTAAAGCGTCGGCCTGCGGTCCGGAGAGACCTGGGTTCGGTTCCCGCTAAGGGCACGTACTTCGGTTGCAGTTTGTCCCCGGCCCTGGTTGGTCGTGCGGGTGGCAGCCACTCGGTGTGTCCCTTTCACATCGATGTTTCTCTCTCTCTCTCTTTCTCTCTCTCTCTCTCTCTCCCCCTCCCTCCTGCTCTATCTGAACAAAGAATGAAAAAGTGTCCTCGGGTGAGGATAAAAAAAAAAAAAAAAAAAAAAAGGTTGCAGGTTCAATCCCTGGTTGGGGCACCTACACAAGGCAACTGATCAATGTCCCTCTCTTACATCGATGTTTCTCTCTTTCTCTCCTTTCCTCTCCAAGCATGTCCTCGAGTGAGGATTGGAAATAAAAAAAAGGGGAGTAAAGAGGGAAAATGGGGGACATCTATAATACTCTCTATAATAAAAATAAATTTTAAAAATTAAGTATTCAAACCCAGAATTCTTAACCAGTACCTGACATTTCTTTCACAATATTAACCACTACCCCCTACAACCCCGTGTGCACCCCATCCCCAGAAGCCTGTCCGGCCAAGACTCACATCCTCAGGCGAGTGACCATCAGAAGTGGCTGTCTCAGGGCTACTGCCATTTTTAATCTTCTTTTTCTTCTTGGCTCCGGAAGGAACACTAATGCCTCGCTGCTGCTGGAATTCTCTCAACTGCAAAAAGGAAAAGCAGTGAGACTCATGACAACTATAAACCCCTGCATTTACTTCGCACTTTATAGTTTACAAAAGACTCATATTCGCCATCTGATTTAATGCCATAACAACCTACAAGAGGTTGCAATTCTTATTTAATGACTGAAGAAATGCACTGATAACATAACTTTAAAATAAAAAATTAAAAAAAAAAAAAAACAGCAGCAGCCCTGGCCAGTTTGGCTCAGCGGTTAGAGCGTCGGCCTGTGGTCCAGAGACCCAGGTTCGGTTCCCGCTAAGGGCGCGTACCTCGGTTGCAGTTTGTCCCCGGCCCTGGTTGGTCCTGTGGGTGGCAACCACTCGATGTGTCCCTTTCACATCGATGTTTCTCTCTCTCTTCCTCTCCCTCCCTCCCACTCTATCTGAACAAAAAATGGAAAAATGCCCTCGGGTGAGATAAAAAGGAAAGGCCCCCAGCTCACCCACCGATGAACCTGGGCTGTGAGTGAGCTGTCTCCATACAGCTTGTTTAAAAATATATTAATTAATTTAATTAAATTTAAAAAAACAAAAAAAACAAACAGGCTCCTGGCCACAGTGGTTAAGCATCAACCCATGCACCAAGAGCTCGCCAGTTCAATTCCCCATCGGGGTGAGGGGCATGCAGAAGGCGGCCAATCGATGTTCTCTTTCATTGATGTTTCTGTCTCTCTCCCTCCCGCTCCCTTCCTCTTTCTCTAAAATCAGTAAAGAAAAAAAAGGCAATAACAGAATTTAAACTCAGTCTTCTGAGCTCTGGGGGTTATGCCATGAATCAGTAGTTGCCAGGGGACAAAACCAGAGGTAGAGGGGTAAACATTTAAGTGATCAGACATAGGGGTCCTTTCTTATACAGCTGTTGGAGATGCACACCGCTACTTCTTAAACTTTTACATCAATGTAGCATAATGGCAGAAGGCAGTGAAGGCACACCCCTAGTGAATCTGGGACAGTAACAGAAAAAGGACAACCCAAGCACCATTTCAGAGTCTACTATAATCTTACAAATCTATGTAAATGTCATCCCTAAGTATGTAAATATAAAAGGCTTTTCTCTCTCAAGAGAACCCAGCAAAACTGATGCTTCATTCCCATATTTATCCAGTGGCACTCAGAGCACCCCATGTTGAGATGAGATTTGGGGAAGATTCCCAGCTGTGAATTGCAGTTTCTGGGATCTGCTCCATAGAAGATAAGCTGATGTCATTCCAAAGAGCATGAATGGGGGCCAATCTGGTCCCAGATTCATAGGGAATTAGAACATGAGTTAGAGAATTCAGAGTAAATATTTCCAAGTCCCTCTGGAGAGTAGAAACCTGGGAGAAAACCAAACTAAACACATTCTCCCCACTGACACCCAGAGATGTGGTCAATGTTTTTCGATCACTAGTGCAACGTAGGTTTTTTAAGCTATCAATGTTTATGGATGACATACAGTCTAGAGGAAGGAAGATGAAACCTCTCTGACCTGAGTCCCATAGTCCCGAGTCCCCTTTAAACTGGAAATCTGTGCTGTGACCAGAACCGGAAAGGGGACTGAAAACACTAGGGGACTGGGTCATAAGATCAAACACCGGGCTCATGGCGGTAATGACAGTTTCGAGGGGGATTGTGACATAACTACATTCCACTCCTCCCAACCGACGCCCGTGTCGCCTCTCCGCGGTGGGGGAAGGGAGCGCAAGGCCCGAACCAGGTCCTTGGAGATAGGAAGCACTGGGAGCCCAGGGAGCCCAGGAGGTCCGGTTCTGGGTGGCAGTAGGAGAGGGCCAATCCTGGAGCCGGGAACCTCGGGGGTCACCAACCCAAAGTGACCCGGGGCCGACAAGCGAGGGCGGGGGCTGGGCTGCTGGGGGTGGGGGGGCGGGGCTGGTGAGAAGACTTTTGGGGGAGGACGCCAAGGGGCGCCGAGGGTCTCACCCTGTGTGCCTTAGAGGCAGCACAGACTCTGGCCACGGTCCGGAAGTCAAGGGGCTTTGAGCTAAGTCAGGGAGCCACGACTCGGCACGTTTTACCTTTTTCCTGGCCTCCGCCAATTTTTTCTGTCGGACTTCTTCCGACATCTCGGGAAGGGGAGGGAGACGGGGGGGCCACATCACCGCGATCCCGGAAACCACCTTGGAATTGCTTCCGGCAGCCACCACGCATCTTGGCGATTGAGCCAGAAAAGGAGGGATCAGGGTGGTTATAGGCAGCAGCTGTGTGGGCGTGGCCTGACATCTTCAATATCATTGGTCTATGAAAAAAGATGAAAGGGAAAGAGGCGTGGCCAGGAGGACTCCGGCAAGGAGGAACAGGCGGAGTCACAATGAAAGCTGTCTCCGCCCACCCTGGGGGGCGGGGCCGGACCTCGCTAGGTGCGCGCGCAGCTCGTGGTGTGCCTGCTTCTGGTCTCCAGCACAGGATTTTGATTACCTGGCGGACCTTGGGGCCGCTCTCCCGCCCCCGACCTGGACCCTCCTGCACTGCAGACCACCCCCCAACGGGGGCCTCGGACCCCAGGGCTCAGAAGGTGGGCTAGGAGCGGACAGCAAGGAATAAGCTCATCCCTTCACAGTCCCTTTCCTGATGCCCCATAGCTCTGCCCCAGACTTTCTCGTCCCAGAATTCACCTCCAGAGATCCCGATCCAGTCCTCCTCACACTCCATCCTATCAGTATCTCCCTTTCCTCGAGGATCTCTACCCTGATCCTGGGAACATATCTGCCCCCTTCCCGACAGTCCCGGTCGCTCCTACTTCCCAGACCCACACCCAACAGTACCCCTTCTTCCCGGAGCGCACTCCTGGTCCAATCAGCCATTTCTCCCTCGGATTCCTCTCCAGGTCTCAACCAGGACTTTCCAAAAGTTGCCGCGGGGCCTTCCGATCCCCTGTGAGTATGCCTGTGCCCCCCCCCCCCCCTCACACTCTTGCCCTCCACCCTGTAAGTCACTGCTGCTCTTAGCCTCCTCTCCATCCCCACAGCAGCTGACCCACCCCCAACCCTCTCTAAGGTCTTCCCCCAGCCAACCTTATTCTGCTGAGAAACTCCAGGTCATTTCTCAGTCCTTCCCCTTTTCCTCCTGCCCACCACCAAGCTTCAAAGATGCCATGTGCTGTGCTTGCCAGTAGCACCCTAAGTGGGCTGTCTCTCCCCCTTCCTGACAGCACCACAAGTGGCAGATTCTTTTTCATACCACTATCCCCTCACCCATCCCACCCCCACAAAAACGACTCTGGTTCCCTCAAACACATGTACTCTCTCCTGTCTTAGGGCGTTTGGATATACCCTCCTCTGTCTGGAATACTTTTCTTTCAGCTTTTTGCCAAGCTGGTGCCTACACCGCTTCTCTTCCTCAGAGAAGCCTCACCCCCCCACTTCTGGCTCAATCCAGTGACCCTGTTAGACACTCCCTTAGCACATTGTACTTTTACTTCAAAGCACTTTTCAGACTTATAATTAGTTGATTACTAACTTGTCATTCACTCATTCATTTAACCAATTTAATTGAGTGCCTACTATATGCCAGGTACTGTTCTAGCACAGTGCAATCAGCAGTAAATATAACAAAGTCCCTGCCCTCATGGAGTTTACACTCCAGTAGTGTAAGGCCAACAATGAAAATAACGTTATCAGTGAAAGGTATGACATGTCAGGTGGTGATAGATGTCATAAAACATAAGACAAAGGGATAGTGAGTGATTAAGGAGTGACCATTTAAATGGGATGGTCAGAGAAGGCCTTTCTGATGAAGTGTGACCTGTGAGAAGAGTTCTTTTTTTTTTTTTTAATTGTTTTTTCTTTATTGATTTTAGAGAGAAAGGAAGGGAGAGGGAGAGAGAGATAGAAATATCAATTGAAGAGAACATTGAGCCCTGGCCAGTTTGGTTCAGCGGTTAGAGCATTAGCCTGCGGTCCAGAGAGACCCGGGTTCGGTTCCCGCTAAGGGCACGTACCTCAGTTCCAGTTTGTCCTGGGCCCTGGTTGGGTCGTGCAGGTGGCAGCCACTCGATGTGTCCCTTTCACGTCCATGTTTCTCTCTCTCTCTCTCTTTCTCTCCCCCCCCCCCCCCCCGCTCTGAACAAAAAATGGGAAAATGTCCTCAGGTGAGGATAAAAAAAAAAGAGAGAGAACATTGATTGGCCGCCTCCTGCATGCCCCGCACTGGGGATCGGGTCCACAACCTGGGCATGTGCCCTGACCAGGAATGGAACCAGCAACCTCTTGGCTTGGTGCATGGGTCAACGCTCAACCACTGAGCCACACCGGCTGGGCTGAGTAGAACTTTAAATGGAGACCTCTGGAGGAAGAGCATAGTTGTTGGGAGTTTTATATTCGGGACTAGGCTATCTGGTCCATGAAGGCAGAGGGCCTGGCTTGCTGTCTTCTCCATCGCAAACCCCAGGAGCCTTTGCCAGTGCCTGGCAGATAGTGCCTACTCACTATCTAGTGACTAACTGGTTAAATGGCCCATCCTAAGAATAGGAACCATGGCCTGGCCAGTATGGTTCAGTGGTTGAGCGTCCACCCATATACCAAGAGGTCTCCAGTTCATTTCCTGGTCAGGGCACATGCCCAGGTTGTGGGCCCAATCCCCAGTGGAGGGCATGTAGGAGGCAGCCAATCGATGTTCTCTCTCATCGATGTTTCTGTCTCTCTCTCTCTCTCTCCCTGCCTCTCTCTCTAAAACCAATAAAGAAAAACAATTTAAAGAAAAATAATAGGAACCATGTCTTCCTCAGTCTCTTCTTGCATCACATGTAGAAAGTTGGTCCAACACATGTTTCTTGAAGATTTAGCAGTGTACCAGACACTGGCCTTTGCAGCTTTGAAAGCAGAAAGGGCAAAAATGGACCATAGCCCCAGAGAAAGACTCTGTTATCCAGTGAGATTATAAACCCAGTGACATCACCAACTTGAGAAAAGAATCCCCGTAGACCTGAAGTATCTCGGGGGTCAGATTGGGGATCAGGATAGGCCCTTTAGTTAGAATTGGGTTTGGCTGGGAGTGAAAGAAGACCCCAAAGAATGGTGGCTTAAACAGTTATCAGGGACCCAGGCCTCTGTCTCATTCCACCACATCTTCAACGTGGTTTCTGCCTCATCAAGATGCTGTTCATCTCCAGCGTTACTTCCACATTCCAGCTGGCAGGAAGGAGGAAGGCCTGCCCTGTCCCTGGAAGGACAGTTCCCAGACGTAGCATACACCATTTCTGATTCCACTTACCAAAACTTGGTTATAGGGCCACATCTAATTTCCAAGGGAAGCTGGGAAATGTAGTCTTATTTAGGGCTGCGTGGTGTCTGTTACCGAGCAGAAGCAGGGAGTGGCAGTTGGGGAACAACTTGTAAGTTCTGAATTGTGGATAATTGGTCAGTCCAGCTAATGACTTTTTGTGCCACTCAGCGGCCATCTTCCAAATCTGGCCAGGCTGATGGGGCCAGTGAGGATTCTCTGCACCTTGACATTCAGAAGCTGAAGGAGAAGAGGGACATGCTGGACAAGGAGATCTCCCAATTAATATCTGAGTAAGTCTTGCTGGGTTCCTCAGCATACTTCAGATAACTAGTGCTCAGTAAGTAACTGCAATCCAGTCATACTAGTTCAGCATAAAAACAGGACTGCGCCGTGGGACTCAGGGCATCTCAGCAGCTGTCTCGGGTAGAGTTCAGGCTCAGGAGCCCCAGGAAGTAGGAACTGGAAAGCTGTCGGGAACAGAGGTTATTGCTGTCTGGGGCCCGCATTCTCTGCCTCTGCTTTTGTCTGCACCAAGGCTCCATTCCTCCCTGCAGGTAGGGTTTTCAGTGCCTGGGGGAAGCTGGTTCTTCCACTTCTGGGTTTTCCCATGTCCCTTGCTCCAGCCACATGACACAGGCTGAGCAGCTTCCGAATGTGCATTTCACACTCGAAGGGATCTGACTAGACTTCCATGTGCCCATCAGTGAATCCCTCAGCTGTGGCCAGGGTCACATAGTACCAGTCTGGTTGGGCCCCCTTCTTAAGAGTACAGGGAGCATTTGCCAGGGGCTGATTGCCTGCTGCTATAAGCTTTAGTGGACAGGTCTGTCCTGCCATCTCCATGTCCCAAGTGCTGAGCACCTAGTAGGCCCTTTGTGAAAACATTTGTTAAGTAGGTGCCTTGTTACTCTCTGAACCTTGGGTCCTCATCAGCTTTCTCTTTCTCCATCCCTCACCCCAGAGGCTACAGTGTGGATGAATTGGAGCACCACATCTCCCAGCTCCACGAGTATAATGACATCAAGGATGTAGGCCAGATGCTGCTGGGCAAACTAGGTGAGCAACAGGACGACAGAGGAGCAAGTAGAGCTTAGAAGGAGTCCTCATCGCCCAGGGGTGGCTGAGTTTTGCTCCTGGGCCTTCTTTCAAATATATATATATATATATGTATGTATGTGTGTATATGTATATATATACACATATATATTTACTAAAGAGGAAGAGAGAGGGAGGGGGAGAGAGAGAGAAACATTAATTTGTTGTTCCACTTATGATGCATTCATTGGTTGGTTGATTCTTATATGTGCCCTGACCAGGGATCGAACCCACAACCCTGGCGTATGGGGATGATGCTCTAATCAACTGAGCTACCTGGCCAAGGCCATCTCCTGGTTCTTCTATCTTGCCAACCCTCCCACCCTTCTCAGCTTCCTGCTCCCTGAATGCCCCTGATGCCCCTGCCCTCCCTGGCCACCTAAAGAAGCAGCTGCACAGCTCTGACCTGCATCCCTAAGATTTTTCCCTTATGGGTGGAGCCTGCTTGAGGCTGCAGGCAGGTTTGAACATGGGCTCACCCACCTGCTGGACCAAAGACTAGGGTTCCCAGTCTTCTGGAGCCTATTGAGACCGACTGAGGCACCATTCTTGCCTCAAAGGGCGGACTTACTACCGAGGCTGAAAGTGCAAGGGCCACTCTGTGTGCCTTAAAGGGGTATCTTGTTCCTCCTTGCACACAGTCTCGCTATCCAGAGGACTTAGCCACAGTGCAGACGCCTGTGTCTGGGCTGGCTCGGACAGCCCACCCTGGAGGGAAGGATTTGTGCAGATGGCCTCGGTTGCATCACCCAACTCGGATTTGTGGGCATTGGTGTTGAGCAGCCAGTGGCCACTGGAACTGCGTTCAGAGCTGGGACTGTCTGTCCAGTTGCGTTTTGTCACTCGTTGCAGAACTGCCAGCACCCAGGACTCCACAGCAGGGAGGGCTTTTCTGTGTTTCAGGGAGGGACACATCTCAAAGGAGGTGGAGGAACAAACGGGACGAGGGGAATATAGATGGATGAAGAGAGGAGGATGAGCAGGGCCCAGGAAGAAAGGATGGTGAGGTGACCGTAGCCTGGTGGTTAGGGCATGAGCTCGTTAGGTAGACCCCAGCTTGAGACCTGTCCTGCAGCTCATAGGAGCTCCAGCGGGTGGCCTGTCTGCTTGTACCTGTTCAGTGACTATTTACTGAGCCACCAACCCTGTGCTACTCTACAAGGCATAGAGACACTTTGGAGAAATGTTCATGTGAAGGGCTCTGTTTTCATGTGACTTCTGTTTCTATGCTGGAGTGGGGAGGGGAATGGTCACTGAAGAACACAAACGAATTATAAAATGGATTAAATGCTGTGAAGGAATCAAAGGGAAGAGATGATAGCCCGGCCATTATGGCTCAGTGGTTGAGCCTCGACCCCTGCACCAAGAGGTCACTGGTTCAATTCCTGGTCAGGGCACATGCCCAGGTTGTGGGCCAAATCCCCAGTGGGGGGCATGCAGGAGGCGGCCAATCAATGTTCTCTCATCGATGTTTCTATATATCTCTTCCTCTCCCTTCCTCTCTCTCTAAAATAAATGACGGAAAAAAAGGGGGCAGAGATGGAGAAAACTGAGGTAGGGACAGGTGGCAGGTGGGGGTGAGGGGAGGTGGTCAGGACAGGCCTCTGAATCAAGCGCTTCCCGAGGAGGAAAGAACCTTCAAGTGAGCAGGAGGAAACGTCACCAGACGGCCAGGGCATGGCCCCCGGGCCAGGCTCAGGAGGCAGGGTTTTCAGCAGGCCCTGGATACAGTGCAGATGTGCATTTCCATGTTCAGCAGACGGGTCCACCTGCTCCGTGTGGAAACAAGATTCGAGGGGAGCTTTGTATGACTCCTCTGCAAAGTGGGGCGAGGGTTCAGTGAGTCTAGTTCAGGGTGGCCAGGAGGAGTAGCAGGAGGGTTTGCTTGGCAACTAGGGGAGCAGGAAGAAGGGGCAGGAATGGGTGCTGGTGCTCAGGGATTTGGCCATTCTCCCACTTCTCCCCCTGGACATTCGTCCTTTCTTTCAGCCGTGGTCCGAGGTGTCACCACCAAAGAGTTGTATCCAGAATTTGGCCTGGACATGAGTGACTGAGCAGAGAGTCACAGCCCCTGTCCACGGCCCCCTGGGACATGCGGACGTGGACAGTAGAAGCTGTGAGAGCCCAGCCAATGCGCCTGGAGGCCTTCCGGCAGGAAATGTCAGCCGCCCTTTTCTAGGGAGCCCACGCGAGTCAGGAGGGAGCCAGTAAGGAGGAAGGTGTGTGCCCAACTCCGAGACTCCCGAAATGTGACAGCGATGCCTGTGTATAAGTATATATGTATCCTATTTGTAAATAAACGTGTGAATTAACTTGATGTGAATCTAGATGCTGATTACCTCTCCCCTGATAGCCCACCTCACCCAGGAGAGAGCCTGCCTTTGCTGGAACAATCTTACGTGCGCTGGGCACTGTGCTAGGTGCTTTACATCCGTTATCTCAAATGCTTAAATCCATCCTAATGAGGATTTAGTTTTGTTATCCCCACTTTTCAGATGAGGAAGTTGAGGCTCAGGGAGGCAAAGTGACTTGCCCAAGGTCACAGAGCCAGTAAGTAGCAGAGCAGGGATTTGAGCCCAAGTCTAACTCAAGCTGATGGTTTGCAGTACTCCCTTTCTAGGTTGGGGGGCAAGCGGGTCAGAGCTGAGAGTGAAATAACAACACTAGGAGGAACTCTTGTAAACTGATCTATGAGAGTTCCAGTCACCAATCGTAACCTCTGCCAAGCAAGGGTGAGCTGTCACTTCTTCATTGGGTGTTGCTTATCATGACCAACTATCACTGGCCGGGGTGTAGCTGGAGTGTTGCAACAGCTCAGTGCAACCCAGAGTGGCCGGGTCTCACGCCAGACTTACGAAGTGTTCTGACTAGTCCAGCTGTCCCTCTGGCCCTGTCCTGCTGGACATTCTCATAAGATTTCAGACGTGACAGCAGCCTTGGGGACAGGCTGTCATGCGGAGTAAGTATAGTGTCTAAAAACCGGCCATGCGAGCCCGGCCTGGGTTTGAATTCCAGCTCTGCCCACTTACAAGCTGTGTGACCACAGGCAACCGACTTGGCCTCCCTCGGTGGAGATAATAGCACTGTGGGCATCAATTAGCATTAGCATCCTCAGCAAACAACCCCAGCTCTGCGTGGCCGACCCCGATCCAGGTCACTGTCTCACAAAGTCTAATGAGGGTCTGGTAGCCCTCACTTTTCAGAGCTTCACCGCTGGAACCCCCAGCAGGAGAAAAGATGGAGGAAACACATCAACTCTGAACCGACCTCCAAATCGGCAGATGTCAGTTGCTCACGGATAAATGTCCAGAAACAGCCACGTGGTCCAAACTGACTGAGGAGGCTGGGAAATGAGAGTGAGCCCACGGCTATTTGATGGGCCCTAGCTGCTGTCTCAGCCGCTCCAGAGGGCGCTTCCAGGACTCGGGCAGCAGCTGTAAGGGCCCAGCGCCTGCGACCGGCGAGTCCTAGGGCCAGCGAGTCCAGCACCCTTAGTGCGACTGCAGCCCTTCCTCCGCGGAGCTCTGGGGCCGCTCCAGACCGCAGCCCTGTTTGCATCTCTAGGTCCTTCCAGACTCACCAGGAAAGCCTGCACGCATTCTCGGGGGTTTTCTGGCCATTTCTTTTTCTTTTTTTTTTTAATCTTCACCCAAGGACTTTTTTCCATTTTTGTTCAGATAGAATGAGAGGGGGAGAGAGGAAACGAGAGAGAGAGAAACATCGACATGAAAGGGACACATAGACTGTCTGCCTCCCACACGACCCCAACCAGGGCCAGAGACAAACTACAACTGAGATACGTGCCCTTGATCGGAATTGAACCCGTGACTCATTGGTCCGCAGGCCGATGCTCTAACCGCTGAGCCAAACCAGCCGGGGCGTGGCCATTTCTTAAACATCCACATCATCATGTCACCAGCTTTTCACAACCACCTTATGAGATGGGTTCTATTAGTGTCCTCGTTTTCAGATAAGGAAGCTAAGGTTTAGAGAGTGGAAGCAACTTGTCAAAGACACACAGTGGCAGAGCTGGGACAAGAGCCCAGGCCTCTCTGGCTCCTAACAACCCCAGGCTCCTAACCTGGACGCCACACCATGAGGCCTTGCACTAGACCCTCCCCAGACCACGTGCCCTCCGAGGACAAGACGGTCAGATCCATCTCCAGCCCTGGCCGGTTTGGCTCAGCGGTTAGAGCGTCGACCTGCGGTCCAGAGAAACCTGGGTTCGGTTCCCGCTAGGTGCGCGTACCTTGGATGCAGTTTGTCTCCGGCCCTGGTTGGTCGTGTGGGTGGCAGCCACTCGATGTGTTCCTTTCACGTCGATGTTTCTCTCTCTCTTCCTCTCTCCCTCCCGCTCTGTCTGAACAAAAAATGTCCTCGGGTGAGGATTAAAAAAAATAAAAAATTTAGAGATCCATCTCCAACAATGCCCTTCTCCTTAACACCCCACACATACTCCGGACTTGCTCAGTTCAATGTGGCCCTGATCCTGTTCCCTTAGGTCTTAGGTTAGGTCACTAGAGATGATCCAGTACTGAAGTAGGCTCCTGCAGTCCTCACACTTCTTAGCCCCACAGAGCTGTCAGCTGTTCTGACCCTCTCCCGACTCAATTTCCTGGGTCACATCATGTTACAGTGGAGGCAGAAGAGGAGAGGTACACAGCCAGGCTTGGAAGGGCGGGAACCCCAGGAGACATGACTCCCTTCCTAGGTTTCCCCCACTTCACCCCATTTTCTCCACATGGACAGTTAGCTTACCTTGCCTCTGTTCACACAACAGCCAATGCCAGGAGCTGGGGAGCCACGGTCGCTGGGTCTTTGCTCACCTGCCAGCAGGGAGTCAGGAAACAAAGAAGCAATGACAGACCTGCCCAGTGCTGCTCAGCGGTTAGCGCGTCAGCCTCTCACTGAAGGGTCTCGGGTTTGATTCCTGGTCAAGGGCATGTACCTGGGTTGCAGGTTCAATCCCCGGCCCCAGTCAGGGCACATGCAGTAAGCAACTGATTGATGTGTCTCTCTCACACCGATGTTTCTCTCTCTCTCTCTCCCCCCATTCCTCTCTCCCTACCACTCTCTCTAAAAATCAAGAATTGGCCCTGGCCAGTTTTGCTCAGTGGTTAGAGCCTCGGCCCGGGGACCAGAGAGGCCTAGGTTTGGTTCCTGCTAAGGGCACATACCTTGGTTGCAGTTGGGCCCCGGTTGGGTTCGTGTGGGTGGCAACCACTCGATGTGTCTCTATCACATTGATATTTCTCTCTCTCTTCCTCCTTCTCTCCCTCCCACTCTATATCTCAAGATAAAATGCAAAATAAATAAATACATTAAATTTAATTTAATTAAATTAAAATCAAGGATTGGCCCTGGCCAGTTTTGCTCAGCGGTTAGAGCGTTGGTCCGCGGACCAGAGAGACCTAGGTTCAGTTCCCACTAAGGGCAAGTACCTCCGTTGCAGTTTTAGAGAGAGAGAGGAAGGGAAAGGGAGAGAGAGAGAGAAGCATCAACGAGAGAGGACATCGATTGGCCGCCTCCTGCATGCCCCTCATTGGGGATTGGGCTCACAACCTGGGCATGTGCCCTGATTGGGAATCGAACTGGCGACCTCTTGGTGCATGGATCGACACTCAACCACTGAGCCACACTGGCTGGACTAAAGCATTTTTTAAAATATATTTTTATTGATTTTTTAGAGAGAGTGGAAGGGAAAGAGAAATAGAAACATTGATGTGAGAGAAACATCGATGGCGGCCTCCTGCACACCTCCTACTGGGGGTGGAGCCGGTAACCCGGGCATGTGCCCTGACTGGGAATCAACGGGCCAACACTCAATGCACTGAGCCATGCCGGCCAGGCTATCCCTTAACTCTAGACTAGTTATTTTGCTTAACTCAAACCTTAGCCTGAGCTCTAATTCCACATGTTACTAGAAAGCAAGGACACTTGTCACTTGCTCCCTAAACTCCTTGCCCCTTCACAAATTACAGATAAGTCAGTCCCAAGACTTCTTGTGGCTATGTACCTGCTTTCTGGCCATCGCTCTGAGTGGCATTTCTTCTGGAAGGCAACGAATGGCACCAGGGTGGATTCCAGGTTCTCAAGCTGAGAACTAGTACGCTACCAGTGCTCCAAGACTTTTGCATTAGGGGCCAGTTTTAAGGCACTACATAGGACACTTGGAAGGAAGGCATCGCCCAGGTCCATTTCCTTCTTATACGGGAGCCCCTCTCCCAGGTGTCATGGGGAGAGGTGGCCTCAAGGAGGCAGTGTCTGCTCAGAGATGAGCCCATGGCCAGGCAGCTGCCCCTGAGGGCCTTGCTGAGAAGGTCCGGGCCTGCCAAGCCACTGGCCACAGAATAGATTCTCCGAGTGCCCCATAGAGGAGAGAGGGTTTTCTCTGACAACACCCCTCCCAGGAGTCTGGAGTGATGCCCCTCCACCCTCCAAGGTCAGTGAGAAGCCAACAGGTTGTCAGATGTGGATGGTGACATGACATTTCTCAGGGCCTGCCCGAGGGTGCTGGGCAACAGGCAGCCAGGGTAACTGACCTTGCAAGTGCGCAGTTTGATCACATCCAGTGCAAACGTTAACTGAACATTTTTATCACCTGGCACGTACGGAGTTCAGCTGCATTCTCATCCCTGGGAACCAAAAGTGGTCATTTCTGGGCAGCCTGACCTCACCGAGGTAGTGTCACCGAATGACACCTCACTTTATTTATTTATTTATTTAGTCCTCACCTGAGGACAGTTTTGCATTTATCTTCAGATAGAGTAGGAGGGAGAAAGGAGGGAAGAGAGAGAGAGAGAAACATCGATGTGAGAGAGACACATCGACCAGTTGCCACCCACATGACCCTAACCGGAGCTGGGGACAAACTACAACCGAGGTACATGCCCCTAGCGGGAACCGAACCCAGGACTCTCTGGTCTGCAAGCCTTCACTCTAACCATTGAGCCAAACCGCCCAGGGCATATTTATTTATGTTTTTATTTTTTTAACTTTATTTTATTTTTTTATAAGGAGAGAGGAAGGGAGAGGGAGAGAGAACATCAATTGGCTGCCTCCTGCATGCCCCCGACTGGGGATTTGGCCCACAACCTGGGCATGTGCCCTGACCGGGAATCAAATCGACGACCTCTTAGTGCATGGGTTGATTGATGCTCAACCACTGAGCCACACCAGCTGGACACACTTTATTTGTATAGGTAGTTGTTGTTGTTAATCCTTACCCGAGGACATTGTTTCCATTGATTTTTTTTTTTTTTTTAAAGAGAGTGGAAGTGGAGGAGAGAGGGCTG